TGTTTCCATTCTGCCACCACAGTCTAGGAAAGGCCCACTTAAGGTGAACTTGATAATATTCCAGGGAGGGGACTGTCCTACAGTCAACAAGAAGCAACCAGAAATCCTTGGACAACATGATAAGAAGCAAGATCTTTTTGGGGCATCAGGTACGAGGCCTGAGGTACATGCTAGCAAGCATGTCAAACTCGAGGCCCGTGGGCCACATGCCTTGTTTATTTGGCCCACGTTAGCCTTTGAGTTTGACATGCTTGGGCTACAGGCTTCACTACATCCTTATCTCCTTTCCTGCAAGGATGGGGAACTACCCTGAAATAATTTACAAAGTTCACATACCCTGAATACTTGTAGTTTTTACCAATGAGAGTTACTCCTAATATCTCCTAGATTGATCAACAAACTACTAATTTCAAAAGGAAAACCTACTTCAAACATTTGCTCTGTTAACTATCCAAGCCTCTGGTGGTGACGGATCCATGGCACCAGGGTCACCTGGAGCAGCTGCCTGTGGCCTTTCTGGTCAGAGAACAGCTGTCCAGTCCTGGAGCAGGAAGTCCATGGCAGAGCTGCCAACTGCTGCGGGGAACATGTAAGCTGACACGGGTACAAAACCCCATCCAATACATAACTGGGAAAAGGAGACGACTATGTCATTTCCCAATTTCTCAGGACCCCAAAGGTTTTGTTTCGGGCAGGGAGCAGGCACAGGAAATGTGGGGCAGGGCAGCCACAGGCAGTGTGGAGGTGGGACAGGGAAGGGGCACAGGGAAGATGTGCTGGGCAGTCACTGTGACTAACTTCTACTAGGACTACTTGATGACACTACAGAAATCCCAGAGCTTCTTATAAAATGATTGTTACTTATTTTTATTTTAAAAAGTAGAATTTAACAAATGATTTTTATTATTTTGAATCATTTTATCTACTAGAGGCCCGGTGCACAAATTTGTGCACGGGTTGGGGGGTCTGTCCAGCCCTCTGGCCAGGGGGAGGGGCCGTGGGCTGTTGGCCTGAAGGCCCTGCCCCTTGGTTGAACATGAGGTTGAACTCCCGGTTGAGGGGGCAATTTGCATATTAACCTTTTATTATATAGGATTCTGGGTGTAAGTACATTATCAAATAGGAAATAAGCATATTAAAAATGGAAAAACAGAACTGACCCATTCATGATAAGCAATTTTACTGAAACGGAAATGAAATAAACTTCAAAAAGGCAAAACTAAAGGTCTTAAAAGTAAGATTATGTTCTTCTCTATCTGATGTGAATTTGTAGTCACAGAGCGTCCTGCTGACTGAGGAAGTGCTCCCCCTAGTGCTCTTTCATAGGAGCTAATGAAGTTATTTTAGCCAATTCCTAGGTCACATAGAACACACATAATAGGGAAGCCTTTATTACATCAGTAGTACCTCAATGTTAGCGGTTTAAAAAAGAATCAAATTCATTAGCTTCTAAATTCTAAATAGCTAAAGATAGATGTAGCTAAAATGTCTTAAATGTGCAAAAATGCCAATCTCTTATTAAACCAGTTTATATTTTAAATTCTTCATAGGTTCAACTTTTAAAAAAACACTAGACCAAAATAAATTCAGAGCTAAATAATGGGAATTAAATAGTGACTAATAAGATGCTAAACAATAATCTGAAAGTGGCCGAAACCGGTTTGGCTCAGTGGATAGAGCGTCGGCCTGCGGACGGGAGGGTCCCAGGTTCGATTCCGGTCAAGGGCATGTACCTGGGTTGCAGGCACATCCCCAGTAACGGGTGTGCAGGAGGCAGCTGATCGATGTTTCTCTCTCATCGATGTTTCTAACTCTCTATCTCTCTCCCTTCCTCTCTGTAAAAAATCAATAAAATATATATTTTTTTAAAAAAATAATCTGAAAGTGGAAGTTCTTTCATCATCTAATATTTACTGAATGCCTATTATATGCTGGGCACCTTTCTGGTGACATACCAGTGAACAAAAATCAAAAATAACCGCACTGTTTTCAATTTAAAGGGAAACTGTAGTCCTTGACATGTTGATTGATGAAATAGTTTCATAATTATGTTTGTTTTTTATTACAGAGAGGAAGGGAGAGGAAAGGGGAGGGAGAGAGAGAAAGAGAGAAACACCAATAATGAGAGAGTGTCATTGATTGGCTGCCTCCTGCACACCCCCTACTGGATATCAAGCCCGCAACCCAGGCGTGTGAATTATGTTTTAATTTGTTCTGTTCTTGGTGTTTATCTAAACAAAAAATATGTGGACATTTAGATTTATTCACTTCCTTCTTGAACACATACTATTCTTTACAAAACTCCGATTTCTTTTGTGCCTACCTGCCGGGCATGCTGAGATTGCCTGGGGGACGTGTTAGCTGGTGCATTCTCACCCTGGGCTCAATACAGGCAGGGAATGTGTCTGGGAACAGTGCGTACAGCTGTCCAGGGAGGCCTTTCTCTGAAGTGCTTGGCTCCAATTCTCTCCAAACCAATCTCCCGGATGCTGTGTGGCCCATTTTAAAGGATGGCATTCCAAATATACCCTCCAGTTGTGGTGAATATTATTTAGTGGTTCTCAACCATCAATAGGAGGGGCCACTTTTATTTGGGGGGAGGGTGGTCATAATGACAGGCTTAGTAGGTCAGGACCAGGGAGGCTAGATGAATCCTGAAGTGGGATGAGTTTTTCCCCATGAAGAACCATCCTACCCAAAAGGCCAATCAATGGTGCCTTCCCACCGACACACACGAAGCTGTTGTCGCCTGGTACAGAAACTTCATTTTAGATATGTGTTTTTTCCTACTAGAAAACAGGTCGGATAATTTCAGTATTATACTTTATTAAATACCTACATCCCACAAAATTATTTCATTGTGAATTACTCAAGAAATACAAAATCACGCAATGGCTTGCTCCACCTTGGTTTGGTTGAGTAACGCTTACAGGGAAAATAGAAGGAATTATAAAGTACTCACTGCAGGACTCACTATACTGGGCAGTTTGGAGAACAAGAACACCTCTAATTCTGAAGACTGTTTTATATCTTGTTCATGTCTTCAAAATGAGTACTTTAAAAATAAGTCACATATTCAGACTTGTTTGGTGATGCCTAAGTTTCAGAAAGTTTGTGGAGAAATCACAAAGAAAAGCAATCACTTCAATGTAATCAAATGCTTTTTTTTGTTTGTTTTTTAAGTATCCTTTCACATAGTGGCTCTCAAACTCTGGCACACATCAGAATTTCTGGAGTTAGGGGCCTGCTTTGCTGGGCAACTCGCAGAGTTTTTGACAAGTTTCTAGGTGATGCTGATGGTGCTGGTCTGGGCATAGCCCTTTAAAAACCACTGCTTTAAGATATATTCTCCAGAATTCAAACTAATAAGCAATACCTATATGCCTTTGCTTTTTCTAATAAATAAATAAAAGAACATTTCACATATGGCTCCATCAAACTTTAAATTTTCAGCCTTTTGAAATGTCCTACTTAAATAGAATATATAACTTATTCATCATGGCTCATAATAATTCCTATGAGTTCAAAAAACAGGACCACAGGATAGTCCAGTACTGGGTCATCTGTGACTACAAGAAACATCTACTTCCACAGTGACTTAGGGCACAGGGATCTTGCTCCAGTCTCCTCCATGCCTCTTCCATTTGGGAAATGCAGTATGAAATCATAAGAATGAGAATGTGACCTATTGTGAATGTTGACATAAAATGTCACAGTGCACAGTTGTACTTAAGATTCTGAATCAGGAACTTCTTCATCAGGGCAGCAGTAATACTCCACAAAACATATCTGTCCATCCTCATTCCTGATCATATACTGTAACGAGAGGAAGCCTCGGTTATCTGTCCGAATAGACACCTTGCATGACAGGACCAGTGCCTTCGTAGAGGGCTTCAGTAAAGAGATCTTGTATCTGTAGAAGAGTAAATAAACAGCTGTTATTTGGACGCACGTCTAACTGTGCTCAGAACTCCCAGAAAAGAACAAAAGTTAGCCAACAACTACCAAGTAGCAAGTACAATAAAATCCAATACTTAGTCAATTTGCTAATATTCTCTCTTCATTAAAAATAATTTTATCCACTATAACCCCAAATCCCCAAGTAAACCCAGAACATACTGTTCATTTTTTAAAAAAATACTACACTTTTTTCAACAGCTTGAAAGTTTTAAAAATTTTAAAAAATTTATTTAATAGAAATTTGGTATTTTACCACCTCTTCATCACCAGAACTGACCTGTTAACTTGTGTTTCGTTACAATTAAAGGATTCCATCAAATCAGAATCTTTGGGATAGTCAAGGTGGGAGCTTCCTGCATTCCCAAAAGTAGATAACCTACAGTGGAAAAGGAGGAAGTCATTTATTCATCGGCCCAACGTAAGCCACACCAGGATCCAAGTACAGAAGACACTGCCTTAAGAAGCGCATTCAGGTCTCCACCACGAAATCATTTCCCACAGCGGAGATGAAAGACAACCAGGAACCTTCCAGCTGCCCATGCTGAGCGAGGGCATGTAGGTGGGGACCCTCTGACATACTCTGTTTACTAGTAAGTGCCTGGAATTTTAATTCATATCACTGTTTAAGTAGGGTTCCACTGATTTGCATTTTGGTTAATATTTTAACAGATCTTGAGCCAAATATTTAACTACCTAATGCCATGAGACGGGCCTTCAGTTCTTCTAAAGTAGATATTTAAAACCCTTTACTCATTAATATTCTGACATTATTTCTACAACAGTTTAGTACAACAATGAAAATACCACTAGTTTTTAAAGTAGGAGACAGAGCTACTCATCTAGAAACCAACATTGCCTAACTATGCAGCTATGAAGATTAACTCGCGAGTTAATTTTCCCGATCTTAAGCGCCCTGATCAATAAAAGTGTGGGAGAAGAGCAAAAGCTCGCTAAAGTTCTGAAAATCCTAGGATCCTGGATAACACTCTATGTAAGGCCTACATCCTTAGCAAATGTGTGCATAGGAAGAAGGAGTAAAGGACATTAGCTGTAAGTGCATTGCCTTTAAGTACCTGAAATAAGGCTTGTCAGGAGACATGGTGATCTGCAGGACCTCACTCGTCATATCCAACTCGGAAAATGCTTCACGGAGCCCCTCTGACTGCAGAATAATTTTGTTAATCACATTGGTGCTGCAGAAATCGAAATCCAGAGTTTCCTCAGGCTCCTGGGTATTGATTTTACAGACGGTCACCACTCCTCCTTCTTCCAGAAATAGCATCAAGGGGCAACCATAACCTTGGTAACGCATTCGAAGTGCGGTTAAATTCCCTGCAATGGAAATGCATCACACTTTGGACTTAGCTGTAATCCTCTGGGTTCAGGTTTTTGTCAAATGACACATAAGGCTCCTCAAGAACACTTTATCCTGCCCAATTTCTAGCATAAATGTGTGTCTCTATAAGAAAGGATCACATCTTTCCTGATGTACATGCTGTCATCAGTGAATTCCAAATATAACTGCAAGAAAATTGGGAACAAAGTGTAATGTAACTCTGAAATCCTTTTCCAGCTTGGCAGAACACCTCTGAAATACCTCCTTGATTACATGTACACACAATTTCAGGACGGAGAGTACATGGTCTGATACTGCAAGTCACAGAGTTGTTGCAGAATAGACCATGCTGTTTCTTGAAGGTCTAATTTGTACAACAGTGGATTGCGTTGATATTATCTGTACTAAATGCCAGTGTATTCACTATAAGCAAGCATGTCAAACTCTCAGCTCGCGGGCCACGAGTTTGACGTGCCTGACTTTAAGGATCCTTCCAATCTTTTCTTTTGGGAGACATTCTTACATTTTCCAAAATTTTAAGATCAAATTCGGAGAAAAAGAGAGGATGGTTCATGGTGATTAGGGTTTTAACACTGCAAACCATTAGACAGAGAGGGGTAAGAGAGGACACTCTAGCTCCTTTAGCTTCCTGAAAGACTGAGGGCCACAGTGAGGAAGGGGGGAAGGCAGATGCTTTTATGAAAAACCACCTTCATTAAAAAATGTAATGAATGCCCTAGCCAGTTTGGGCCTTGGTCTGCAGACCAAAGGGTCCTGGGTTCAATTCGGGCCAAGGACATGTACTTAGGTTACAGGCTCCTCCGCTGTCCCGGCCCTGGTCAGGGCTTGTGCAGGGGGCAACCAATCATGTGTTTCTCTCACATCGATATTTCTGTCTTTCCCTCTCTCTTCCACTCTCTCTAAAATTCAATGGAAAAATATCCTTGGGTGAGGATTAAAAAAAGAAAATGTATAATTAACAACAATGGAAGTGTCAGTATAAAATTAAAGTATATTTTCTAGAGAATCATAACTGAATTTTCCCTAGTTAATCTCAATTCCTTTCTTATGAATAGAATCATTCTTCTGGGAATTCCCTGTAGTTTTACTAGTATAGCCATAGCAACCAAATTCCCTATTCATAAAAAAATCCCTAAACAAATAAAACATAAATATTTTAAAGGAAAGCATTTAGGAAAATAGACAATTTATAAACAGGAGTTAATGAGAGAAAAGGGAAAACATTTTGAATGCAGTACACTGAGAGGAGAATTGGTTTCTATTTTTCTCTACCACTAACTGTAACTCTACCACTAACTGTAAGTTAGGGAAGAGAAGCAAATAAAACATTTCACAAATGTTAAAGACAATTAAGACAAGTTCAAGTCTTCCTTTGGTTAGTTCAAATTTAATATATGTGCTGCTGAAACGAGCACTAGTTCAAATTTAAAAGCTTTGTAAGTTGAAAAAAGATGAATGTAAATACTTTTGCAAATATGAAAAGAACCATAAGCACACTTTCTATTAATACTATAAAAAGTCAGAATCCATGATTGTCACCATTGAAAAATGAATTGGCAATTCATTTTCTAAAGAAATGCTGATAGTACTTGAACCACGTCCCGCGAGGCCAGGTTCAGTGAGCCTGAGAGGGATGGTGAAGGATTCAAGATAGACAAAGAGAATACAGTTGGGGCTAGGTGGATCTCCCGAGCCTGGATGAGGACACAGAGAGACACAGCAAGCCCAAGCTTTATTTTATAGTCAGAGCACACAAAGCAAAACAAGGGAAGTGGTCAACACCGTTTACAATGTTCTTTCAAGTTTCACCTTGTTTTGGCAGCACTTGCTACACCTCCCACAGCCCATTAGCTACCTAGGAAGGAACTAGGGAGGACTAGAAGGTTAAGCTTAATTATGCTAGGAAGGCTCTGCCCTCCAAGCTGGGTCTTGTTTGTGGCCCTGCCACAGGTCAGTCCCAGGCTTGACCCTATACCCGCTCCCTACAAGTACTTATATTCTAATAACGTTTCCTGGCCATTCTATATCCAGAAAAATAGTTAATTATTATAATGATAATTAAATGGTTCACCTGGCATAGGACTTGATCCAAAAATAGATAAGCAGTCTAAAAGGACAGTTAAATTAATTCGGAAAGTAACAGGCTCTTCCTGTACTTTAAACTCTTGAAATATTCCAGCCTATGAAAAAAAGTAAACATGAAAAAATAAGTATACTTAAGAATGAGACCTCACATAAGGTTCTAGATTTCACTTTTATGTTTTTAAAAAAACAATATTATGCTAACCCCATGAAAATAATTACTGATTATCAATCAACACATCTTAAGCTTTTTCAACTATCATCCATTAGAATAACACTAGTCAAGCCCTAGCTGGTTCGGCTCAGTGGATAGAGCATCAGCCTGCAGACTGAAGGGTCCCGGGTTCGATTCCAGTCAACAGGCACATGCCTGGGTTGCGGGCTTGATCCCCAGCAGGGGGCGTGCAGGAGGCAGCCAATCAATGATTCTCTCTCATCATTGATGTTTCTATCTCTCCCTCTCCCTTCTTCTCTGAAATCAATAAAAAATATATTTAAAAAAAATAACACTAGTCAATAGTTAACGGTATAACAGGGATTTAGGTCCATGCAACACTTCATCTAGTTTCTTGGATCTAAACTATCCCCCACATGATTCTCCAGTCTCCTTTTTGGAGCCATCAATACAGCTACAGTCAACTGGAAAGTTGCCAAACAATTTAATAATGCATGGGTAACAGTTTTCAATTTCTTTTGAGAACAAGAACCATGTCTCATTTATCCCTGAAGTCATGCTATTCACTGAGGTGTTCAAAAACACGCTCAATTAAATCTGAAATCTGAACCATACAGATGCAACTTTGTAAGAACAAATACGTTACATGATAACCAATGAAAGGGAAAACTAGTTTTTAATAAGGGAACTAGTGATACAGAGCACACACTCTGCAAACAAGTGTTCTGGGTTCCTATCCCAACTCAGCCGGGACTGCAAGCTCCGGGACTGTCGGCCACGCACTTAAGCTGCGCCTCAGTGTCCACATACGTAAAATGGGAATAGCAGCCCACCTCACAGGACCATTGTCAGGATTAGACGAGTTCAATATAGAAAACACAAGAGTGCTTGGACTCTTAATAAATCGTGGACATTATTAGTTTTAACCATTATCTCTGTAAAACACGGGGGAAAGAATTTGTAACGGAGAGAAACAAACAAAACAACCGCCCAACAAACGCCCTGCTGTTTTCCAGCTTAGATGACGCCCGCCAGAGCCTTGGGGTTCATTGAACTGGGCGCGGCGTATCCACGGCACCCGCTCCGAGCGGTCCCCGGACCTACCTGGATGAACGCATTCGCCTGCACGCACTTCGCATTTTCCACCGTCACCTTGATGCCATTTTTTGTGGCGAAACAGGTGGCGTGATCCCGGAAATGAATGGCCTTCAGGACCGTGGAGAGGTTCCTCACGTTGTCCAGGCTGGCCACCAGGCTGCAGCCGCCGTCGTCTGGGACCCGCTGGCCGACGAGGGGCATCGTCCGGCGCCGCACCGGCTCCCGCACCTGCTCCCGGGGGCCCGCAGCACCTGGGGGACCCGCAAGACCCGTCAACGCCGGCGCGACCCCCCGCGGCCGCCGCTGCGCCGGGGGAGGGGGGGGCTGCACCCCATCCCTGCCACCCCACCACCACTGTGACTGGGGGGAAGTGCCGGACGGCTCCCTGGTCTCCGGTAAAAGGACATTAATACACGAAAAGTTGTGAATCGGGAAAATGGGTAACCGGTAAGGTAACAGCTCTTACGGCCAGGTTCGCCACGTCGAACCGGGGCCAAGGATCCCCACCGAGTCGGTGTGAGCTGCCCGGCGCCCGGCGGCGGGGGGGACGGACCCCGGTTTCTCAGAGGACCCGCCTTGAGTCCCAGGCAACGCGACTCCCCAGCCCGCCGCGAGGGGATGAAGGGGGCGGGCGGCATCTGCTCACTGGCCCCGGGATTCCCGGGTCCCAGGCGCGGAAACCGTACCTTAGCGGTGGGGTCCGGACGCCTGGGAGCCTTTCCCAGGTCACCGGATAGGCGAGGTGCAGCTCCCGGGGAAATGAGGAGGAAGTGGACCCGCTCCCGCCACAGCTTTCAGACCGCCGGGCCGTCTCGGCCACCGTCACCATAGAGCTGGGCGCGGCCTAGAGAGGCGACCGGAAGAGGGCGCCAAAGGCTGGCGGAGGACCCAGAGCCGAGCGCGCGGGACCATAGAGACGGGAAAGCGGCGCGAGCGGCACTGCCGGAAGGGAAGGCCCAGAGCGGGGGCGGCGCGGTAAGATGGCGGCCACCAAGAGGAAGCGGCGTGGAGGCCTGGCGGTCCCGGCGAAGAGACCGAGAAAGAACGGAAAAGATGCCAGGCCTCCAGCGAAGCCGCGCGACAAGGCAGAGGAGGCGGAGGAAGAAGACAGGAATCGCATCCCAGGCCCCGTTTGCAAGGTAGAGGGCTGCCCCCGGGTTTCCCCTGCGGCCGGCGGCCGGCATCTTCCCCGGGGTCACCGACCCAACCACGGCCGTGCGGACTTCCGAGTGGCTCTGTGTTGCGGAGGCTGGGTGTCAGCTCTCCCGGCCGCACCGGCCACCGCGTTCCCATCGGACCCTCGTGCACGAGGCTGCCCCCGGAAGGCGGCCGTGCTCGCGGGAAATCGACGACTTCGGGAGCACTCGGTTCTGGTTCTGTTTTCTAGTCTCCCCGCCCCCCTTAAAGTTGTTTCGAGGTGTTGGCTATATCCCAGAACAGTCACTAGTCTTCCCATGTTCTGCCATGGCCAGCGGCTGGGGTCCTGAAGCTCATGTGATGCTTTGAAAAGTACTGTCCTTGGGACTGGGACTTCGTTTTTTTAAATCCTCACCCGAGGATGTTTGTTGATTTTTAGGGAGAGAGAGGAACAGCGATGTGAGGGAAACATAGACCCGTTGCCCCCTTACGGCTCCCCCTCAGGAAGGGAGCCGCCACCGCTTCGGGGTCGGGACGATGCCGAGCAGCGGAGCCCCGGCCGGCGCCGACCTGTTGGGTGTGTAGCTCGAGGGGTAACCGGCGGAAGCGAACGTAGATGGTGGGATTTCCTTACTCAACAGCCAGCGGGTCGGGCGCCGTGCGGAGTCAGGTTCCCCGCCTTGGGATGGCAGCACTGGACCGCGACCTCTTCCTTTCTCCCGGAACGTTGGAGTTTAGAAAGAGACCCAAGAAAGAATTCATTTGAGTTGGTGGTTTTTATTCTAAAGGAAGCGAGCAGCTAGATCGCAGACTGTGCAGACAGGAAGTGCTTTTGATTGGTTAATTCCCGTGCCCCCCAGTTTAGCGTGTACCCTAAAGAGTAATGAGATTTTCAAGTGGTCATGTGATTAGTCCCTAATCAGTGGTGGGTAGGTGGCCCTCTATGGGGCAGGGGCAGGCACTGCGGAAGGAGTTAGCTCCGAGGAATGAAATGAGTTTACATTCTAGCCTTGTCATTAATTAACAGTGACATCCCGGACTCTTTCTCATCTGCCTATTCAGAGGAAGGAAATGTGATCGCCTTTTTTGTTGTGAAGAATGTAGTATATTTTCAGTAAATGTTAGTGCCCTCATTCTTCCTTAAGGACCAAGAAAGAGTATGATAGTCGCAGTGATCTGATATGAAATCTGGTATCGGTGAGTCTTGATTTGAAAAATGCCGTTGAAGGACAGACGATAGAGGTTACTTTTACCCGAGGATGATATAGGGTAAGAGATCGTAAAGAAATTATTTAGCCTTTGAGCTGGATCTCAAAGTAAGGGTAGAACTCTGATATTCAGAAATGAGAGGAAACTATACAAGGGAGAGAAAGAGAAAACTGATCAGGCGTGTTGAAGTGGGAAATGCTGAGAATTAAAACAACTAACCCAGGTGCTCTTTCTCCAGGCGCACACCTGTTCCCTCCCCTCCAGTCCCCTCCCCACAGGCACACATCTCCAGAATTGTCAGGGACCCCGTAGGGGCGCAGTGGGCAGCAACAGCTCACCCCAGCCCAACCCCTGAACCTGTCTCAAGGCCCCTTCTCTGCCTCTGGCTGTGAGCTCACATAGCCCCACCTCGGCTCGTATTTTCCCCATCATGTTTCCTGAGAGCCAAAGCATTTCCACCTAGTCTCTCTCCCGGTGCTTCCTCTACCTTAAGCCCTTCCGTCTTTTACTCCACAGCTGTAATAAGCGCACTCTCAAAAAAAAAAAAAAAGAAAAGAAAAGAAAAAGTAGAGCCCGATTGGCTAAAGTGTAGGGTTGATTTGGGACAATACGAGGTGAAAATATAAATGTGTTTTAGACTCCACTGGAAAGCTATGCCATTTTGGACTTTGTCTAGAAAAACCTAGGAGGTAGGATGATGGGAGCTGAGCTTTAGGATAAGCTGGTGCTGTCAGCCATGTCTGTCGGAGGGGCTCCTGGCCAGGAAGGCAGCCAGTTAGGAGATTTGCAGTAAGAATAGGACTATGAGGGTCTGAAGGAGTGCAGTGGGTGTAGGAAAGGAGTAAGAGCTGTTGCAAAGGAAATTGACAGCATTTAGTAGTGCTTCTGGGATGAAAGAATAAGGGCAAGGAAGATTCAAAGCCTGGGGGACTGAGATGGTGGTGACATCATCAGAAAAAGAAAGAACACGGGAATTGACCAGATCGGAGATTTAGCATTCTAGAATTGAGTGTGAGATTAGAAGGACTGGACGGAGTTCTTTACCCTTTTGTAGAGTTGACAGCTCATGCTGTTTGAATGATTATGAGAACTCTCCTGGGGAGACGGAAAGCAAAAGAAGCTAAGAAAGAATCTGTAGAGTCAGGAGGAGGATTTTTTTTTTTTTTTTAACAAGAAATGTAATGGGTGAGAAGGGCTGTTTTTATTTTTTTTAATTTTATTTTTTAAATATATTTTTATTGATTTTTTACAGAGAGGAAGGGAGAGAGATAGAGAGTTAGAAACATCAATGAGAGAGAAACATTAATCAGCTGCCTCCTGCACACCCCCCACTGGGGATGTGCCCGCAACCCAGGTACATGCCCTTGACTGGAATCGAACGTGGACCCTTCAGTCCGCAGGCCGACGCTCTGTCCACTGAGCCAAACCGGTTTCGGCAAGGAGGAGGAATTTTAGACACTGAAGGAAAACAAGGGAAGGGAGCCAAGGAGAGGATTTCTGGATGGCAGTTGAGGTCTGAATGCTACTGAGAGATTGAATTAAAGTTTTGGTCAGGATTGTTGGCTTGCTACTTGGAAGCTTTAAACAAACAAGGTAGGCTCACTCTGAGATTTAAAAATCTTTTAACATTTTATTTTTCTTTAGGGCAAGTGGAAAAATAAGGAACGGATTCTCATCTTTTCTTCCAGAGGAATAAATTTCAGAACAAGACATTTAATGCAAGACTTAAGAATGTTGATGCCTCATTCTAAAGCAGGTGCCTTTATGTTATACTTATAATTTTATGTTCATAAAAGTGCATATTTATATATTTCCAGTTCAAGTCACACATCAGTTTTTCAATCTTGTGAAGTCAAGAACCAGTATTCTTTTCTCAAAAGTATATCTTTTTCAGTGCCAAGATTTTTCCAGTTAACATTTTGTCAGGAATTCTTTGCAAACTTTATTGAACACTAGAGGCCTGAAGCATGAAATTCGTGCAAGGGCCTGGGCCCCCTTGGCCCCCTCCCGCCACCGCCGGGGGCGCCTGCCACCTCTGCCGCGGCCCCTGCCCACTGTACCTCCCGCCCGCTGCTGTTTTGTCCCGAAGGAAGGACATTCGGTCTAATGAGCATATTATGCTTTTATTATTTTAGATTCTCTTCACTTTCTTAAACAAAGATCCTGATTCCTGGAACATTCTTGAAGGTCCAGAAGAAATGCCTCCATAGCAATGCTCTCAGCTGTCCTGGTTTGTCCTTTAAATGACTCAGGACTGCCATGTGTTGCTTTCCGCATTTAATTACAAACAACAACTGTCCCCATCTACAGGTTAATGGACCTGGAGCAGGATTTCAGGCACCTGTAGGTGGGACTCCTCCTCCTCGGTGTCCAGCTAATCTTTTTAGCACTGAGGTATCTTACCGGCAGGTGAAGAACATGTAGTTTTAAGTTTGGAACCGTGGCCAGTGTCATCATGGAGCTATGTCTGTGTCTGTGTTGATTCTAGGTAGTAACTTAGGTCTTTCTTTACTAATTAGTGTTTCTTGAACTCGGGTCTGCTACTACATCTTCAGATCTCTGACACTAATAAGAAAAAATGTTAATTTATATCGGTTTTCTTTTTTCCTGTGATAATATGAAATTCTTTGTTTTACTAGTTTCCTTCAGCAACTGTGATTCGTATTTAAAAGAAATTTTCATTACTTCAAACTTTAGTCTGAGTGTTTTGTAAACTGAAGTCCTAGAACATGGTGTTCAGTTGTGAGAATTATTTTACTTTTGAAAGGGATTCACAGAATACATAAAGTCTGAGGAAACACTGCTTAGATCACTGTTTATAATTCTCGTGGACTACTTTTAATTACTTTTTTTTAAAGAGAGAAATGAGAGAGAGAGAGAGAAACAGTGATGTGAGAGAAAAACATCACTTGGTTGCCTCCTGCATGGGCCCTGAGCCTGAGTCAAACATTGCCTTTTGGTGCACAGGATGACATTCCAGCCAATCCAGCCACCTGGCCGGAGCTCATTACTCATTTTCACATTTAAAAAGAATCAAGGTTTTCAAGAGGTCATGTGTTTTCAGATCTATCATGTTGAATATTGACAAAATTGCATTAAAGGAAAGATTACAAAAACACTTTAGAAATAATTTTCTAGAAAGCATGTGTGATTTGATTGAAGGTGCTTAGAAATCTTGTATTTACTTTCTTTTTCTTTTTTTCCTTTTATAGATACTAAAATGGATCGTAAAGATAAGTTATTTGTGATTAATGAGGTAATTTTAGAAAGTAATTAAAGTAAAATATGCTGGGAACACTATACTTAGGAAGTCTATTATTCAATGACTTTTACATTGCTTTATCAAAGATACTCAGATTTTATTAAATCTTCAATAATCTACCTTCTACATCAGTGATGGCGAACCTTTTGAGCTCGGCATGTCAGCATTTTGAAAAATCCTAACTTAATTAACTCTGGTGCTGTGTCACATATAGAAATTTTTTGATATTTGCAACCACAGTAAAACAAAGACATATTTTTGATATTTATTTTATATATTTAAATGCCATTTAACAAAGAAAAATCAACCAAAAAAATGAGTTCGTGTGTCACCTGACACGCGTGTCATAGGTTCGCCATCACTGTTCTACATTGTTAATAGTACTCACTATCTACGTCTTATAGTTTAGTGTTTCTGTATTATTTCTTGGTCATTCTTCTCCTTATCATACTCGGGTACACATACAGAATTATCAGTCAATATGTATAAGATAAAAGTATTTTTAAAACCCCACATTGTAGAAAGCTTTTTGCCAGTGTTAACACATTGCGTACCACATAGAAATCTCTAAGACATACGCCAGGGACTGCACATTTTGGGGCAAACTGCACGTTATTTAAATCATCATACTGCGCTTTAGGTGTTGTTTTTCAATAATTATAACATTTTTATTTACAAAAACAAAGTTCCTAGTACTTTTTAAACGTATGGTACTGAGTAAAACATTTTCCTCTATGAAGAGGGACCAAACAAAATTTACAAAAGTATCTAGATTCGCCCCTTTTTCCATGGGCGTGAAAAACGAGGACACTCGTGAGCGGTCCTTAACCGATGGCGCGCGAAACACGAGAAAACTCCTGAGCGGTACGAAATGTGTTAAGTAGAGTGATGTATGTCGTACTTGCTCTTAAGATACTACAAAGTAGTAATGAGGTTAAAACTTAGAGGAATTTTTTAAAGATACTTTTCTTTAGCTGCTAGGTTTTTGATCCATTCAGCACACATTTTTGAACCTGTGCGAGGTCATGGCATTAGGTGCTGTGGAAACAGTGTCTGCAGAGCAGCCCCCTTGTCACCGTGGAGCTGCCTGCTACGGGGGCGGCAGGCCATGCAGAGCCTTAGAATAGTAGTGAACATGAGACTAAAGCAGGGCCTGGGTTTCCCACAGCTCAGGCTGGACTGGGAAATGGAAAAAAGCATTGGACCTATGAACTTTCTAAGTTGTTAGGTTTAAAGTTTAGAGTTTATGAATACTACATCAGATACCAGGTAGTTTATGAATTACTACAATATTACAGGACTATATTCCTGTTTGCTTTTGTATATTTCTCAAGTGTGACTTTGTAAACCTTCAAGATGTTGAAGTTTAATTCAAATTAAAATAGGGTTTGTACACTTCTGTTTTTCACCAATCCCCGAGTGATTTTACAGAACTGAACCACAGAAATGATAGTATAAATGAAGAAGAAAAAAACCTAAGTTTCTTGATCTTAAAATTAAGAAAATGAAAGAGTTAAAAATCAGAATTACCATTACAAAGTATGTGTTTGGTTCCATAAGGACTATTTTCCTACAAGTAGTGAGGCTCATTATAGTGTGCAGTACCCCTAGGGCATCTGTTTTCAGTCTTTGTAGCTTGTACATAACTGGTCAGAAGAAGAGGTTCCCAGCAGTCAGAAGTGAGGCCCGTTTCCTTTAAAATGCTGGGCCCAAAAGAGGAGATGTTTACATCAGAGGCAGGCAGAGAATCGAGTTTACCTTGGGCAGAATACCCAGAGGAATTGGAAAGGTTTCTTTTTGTGAGTAAATACAATTACTAGATTTAGACTTTTGTAGCTCATTAATTTGCTTAAGTTTTTTGGAAGAATATTGGTATTCATTGCATTGAATTGCTGTAGATCTCATTTTATCTACTTCATTCCTTTATACTTTGCTCCATTTAGGTTTGTGAGATGAAAAACTGCAATAAATGTATCTATTTTGAAGCTAAGAAGAAACAGGATCTCTATATGTGGTGAGAGAATGTATTACGTAAGATTGGTGTGGAACTTGTTCTTTAAATGGATTTATTCTCTGTACCTCTTACAGACGCCTTTCAGGCTTTTTTTTTTTTTTTTTTGTAAAAAGACAGGGCCAGGGGATGAAGTGAACTCATTTCACAAAAGTTGAAACCTTCAAAAGAATTAAATGTATGAATGTTATGAGCACATTATAGTATCTTTTTAACTATAAATACAAAGTAAACATTTGCTACATTTTAGATTCTAACTAAAAGGCTTTCTTCCTATTTTTCAGGCTTTCAAATTCACCTCATGGACCATCTGCTAAATTCCTAGTTCAAAATAGTAAGTTGACTCAGTTTAAAATTTTATGAGAACATTGAAAAACTTTTGGAATAATTGTGCTAAAATTATAACTATTTTTCTTGTTAATATAATCTTTTCTAGTTCATACCCTCGCTGAACTAAAGATGACTGGAAACTGTTTGAAAGGTTCTCGGCCCCTTTTGTCTTTTGACCCTGTAAGTTTTGCAGTTAGTGTAAGAAGTCTAACTTTTTACTCTGCGTGGTGGTTTCTCGAGGGTATAGTTAATTGTATAAGTCAGGTTAGTGAACATAAAACAGTTTTAAACAAAGCACTTTGCTATTGACAATTAATATGCTCACTTTATTTTTATAGGCTTTTGATGAATCACCACATTATGCTTTGCTAAAAGAACTCTTAATTCAGGTAAGTAGAAAGTACCTTTGGTAATATTTTATACATCGGTATCTTCCTTTGGACTTTTTCTTAACTCAGCGATCTAAAACTAAAACGGGTTGGATCATAGAATAAGGAACTAACATACTCTTTTTTCCCCCACTAGATCTTTAGTACACCACGCTACCATCCCAAAAGCCAACCATTTGTGGACCACGTGTTTACTTTCACTGTTTTGGATAATAGGATATGGTTTCGGAACTTTCAGGTTAGCTTTAATTAATTTTTAATTATATTTTGAAATAAATTAGGACAAACAATACCACTACATATTGACCATATACTTAGTTTTTTTTAAAGGAGATAGTCTGAAGATCCACGAAGCAGTTGAGTTCTAAATTTGTGCTAGGTGCTATAAAGGTCACAGTAAAATGTAAGCGGAGTTAGCATCTCCGTGGGGTAGGGTTAAAACTTAGAAAAACAACCTCTATAGAAGGCATTTAATGAGACCTATTAGGTGAGTCACACAGTGACTCATTCAGGAGGAGAGGTGATTCTGAAAATCTTGAAGAACGAATTTGGCAGGATGATAATAAATCTGCAGAGAGGTGGGGAGGTGGAAAAACATGCAAGGTTCCAGGCAGCATGTGAAGCAGACTGGGCTCTCCATGGGCTGTTATACCGAGTACCGTGCAAAGGGAGCTCCACATACTCCCTAACCTCTGAGGGCAGCCATATCTGAAACAATACACAGTGTTAATATTTGTAGTTCAGATGTGGCCTCAATCAGTAGCCATTCAAAAATAAATTTGACCCTGTACTATACTTTTATATACCTTTAACTTCATTTGATTAGGTTTATAAAAACAACTTAGGTTTGATTACAGTTTTTAAAGGGTCCCCTGTAGTGTGCGCTTCAATACATGTTGTTACAGTAATCACAGTTTTAAAAACATTTAACCAGTGGTTTTCAAGGATGCATGCATTGTGAGAAGCAGGATATGAACCAAATTTAAATTACTCAGATTTAAAAGAATACTTAAAAGCCTTTATATTTTTTCCTGATAACTACTATAACTAATATATTTCAAGAAATGCTGATGGTTTGGCACCTACCGGGTTTCACCTCTACCTTAATTTTATTTTCAGATTTTTAGGCTTATTTGTAGTGAGGTTATAGCCAACATACCTTTTAGGAATAGTATATCCAAACCAAAATGAAATGTTTTCTTTTTATTAAAGATCATAGAAGAAGATGCTGCTCTTGTAGAAATAGGACCTCGCTTTGTCTTAAATCTCATAAAGATTTTCCAGGGAAGTTTTGGAGGACCAACTTTATATGAAAATCCTCACTACCAGTCACCAAACATGGTAAGCTGTTTTTGTTTAGTGGTCTTCCATGTTCCAGAAGTCTGGCCCAAAGAATTTTTGTCAGGTAATTACTATTCTGTTAACTGTGAAACTGACTTTGGGTTTTGTTGCGTACAGTATTGCAAATTACTTTTTTTTTTTTTTTTCAATTGCTCCCAGGATTTAAGGGAAATAGATCCTAAGTTTATGTTCTTGCTACCATATATAAAATGTTTATTCATATTTCAAAAACATCTAATGTGTTTTTTTGTTTGTTTCTAGCATCGGCGTGTCATAAGATCCATCACAGCTGCAAAATATAAGGAGAAACAGCAAGTTAAAGAGGCACAAAAACTGAGAAAGAAAGAACCAAAGACCATTCTTCCACATGATCCCACTGCAGATGTTTTTGTTACACCAGCTGAGGAAAAACCTATAGAAATACAGTGGGTAAAACCAGAGCCAAAAGTCGATTTGAAGGCAAGGAAGAAAAGGGTTTACAAAAGACAAAGAAAAATGAAACAGAAGGTGAACAGTGGAAATGCAAAATGAATCACTGGATGACTAATTTTTCAGTTATTTTGTATTTATTTTGTATTCAATGTGTAAATACTTTTATTATTCAGGACTATCTTACATCTAATTAGTGTGGCATTTAAAAGAAAAAATTAAAATCTTGTGGCTTCGGGAGTATCTTTTTCTAAATAAAATATCCCTAGAACTCATTTTCTGTTCAAAGCTTATTTGGTATTACTAAAAATTTAGAGCACTTAAGGGTTAGGCCTGCCCTCTTGGATTAAAAAAAATTTTTTTTTGGCTTAGCAAAGCTGGAATTTAAATTTATTGGGTCATTACTAGTAAAACAAAGCATTAGGCACTTTGAGAGTCGTTTCTGATGGTGAAGTAGGGTTGACCAGGAGGAAAGAAAGCATCTTACGAGGTTTGAGTCTCTGAGTCACCAGTTAATGAGCCTTGGACAAGCCAACCTCTGATCTTGTTTTCTCATCTCAAAAAGGTACAATAAAAATTACTTGCATTGAAAGCATTTTGTAAATTACAAACATTTTAGAAGCAGTGGGTATAAATTATTGATAGTAAAAGGAAGAAATACAAGGCAGTTGTTAGAAGGTACTAGAATATTTGAATTAATCTCCTTATGAATGATTTGTAGCAAAAAGGATATATATATATCCTCAGCAGTAGTATATATACTACATACTAGTAACTAATAAAATTGGGTCATGCATGTGGTGGTCTGTCATCCACTGTATTTCACAATCATTTTCCCATGTCTGTGTTCTACAATATGGTTAGTAATTGTACAGTATTCCACTCTATCATATATCAGTTTTTTATTGTTATTAAGTATTTCAGTTATATATTTTCTTGTAGAGGTGCTTGCAGTAAACATTTGTGCAGTATACACAAATTATTTTGTACATTTGTGGGTTCCTATAAGTAGTAGGACTTGGGTCAGAACACTAAAACATTCTGATTGCCTCCTTAAATATACCTCACCAGAAGTTAGAGCATTCATTTCCTTGTACCTTTGCAATGGTGAAATAACCTTTGTCTATTGGATAGTTTAAAA